AAAGCCGTACTGTGTGGAATCCCAACCATCCAGAAGATGGAATTTAGAGCTCAGCCGTATTGAACGATAAAGGAATTCAGTTCTGGGAATTGTTTCAAAAAGTTATTTGGGATGATTTCCATTGTACCGATAGTATAACAGTTCGGCTAATAGAGATATAGTTTGTACTTTTATTGAATACCGTGCATCATTTGACAACGAGGGTAGTTTGGAAGCTCGTGGTATTAATATCGGGCCGTGCTCTTGTTACGATCGGTCCTACTGCATGAGAGCACTCCAGTTTAAGTACAGCGCTCTACTCTAGCTACGGAAAGTTTATTACCTACCCCCACTTTATTACTTTAACGCTAACTTTTTAAAATACTCGAAAACATTAAACTGTTATTCTGAATTATTTTTATATACACGTTTCCGTAATATTCATTTTATTAAATTCTTATTATTATTAGAAATTTTAATATTATAAATATAATAAAACAAACTAGGAAAAAATTATTACTCATGTGTAGAGATAAGCGTCAATAGCCTAATGGTTAAGGGTACGGATTACCGATCACGAGGTCGGGAGTTCAAATCCCGACATTCGGCTATTGTCGTAAACCATATCCTACCACAAGCCTAGAGCTTAATTATAATGGTACAAGAAATATTAGTGAATTTACAAAAAAAAAAACTATTAATATTTAAAAAAAAATATCACCGCTAGGTAACTTAGCAATAGGTAAGATATAAGTCGCAGAAACCATACGGCTTCAGCCTTTACAATTCCATTATCCATTGACTTTTAATTATAGTTTTAACTGGTAGGAATACTGTCATCTCAGTACTTACGTTAGCATATTGGTGTAAATAAATGTAATAAAATGATAAAAGCAAGTGAAATAGTTTTCATATCTCCGTAGGGTCGCGTTTATTATGGTCGCGGACGAGAGCGAAAGCGTGCCCCTGGTCCCGTCCCGATGCGTTGGAGGAACAGAGAGGTTTAGTGGGTATGCCTCCGCTATGGAGGAGAATCCAACATAACTACCGCGTCCCCCCCGGGGCGCGGAGTATGCATAAAGCTTTCCTCTCTGGAAAAAAAAGGGTCGCGTTTATTATAAAATACCCGATATTTTACTGCAGATGCACAGTCCCTTGCAGAATTTCCAACTGCGAATAAAAATAAAGCGCGGAAAAAATCGTAGTAAACGATCCTCCCACATGTCTGTTAAAGCGTTCCTAATGTTAAGGAAGGAAAATTATACTAGTCGGTTCACTTTATAAGTACTTTCAAAGACTTCAAAGCCTTAAGTATCTGACAGTCACCAACTTTAAAACTCTTTGATAGAACTAAGCCGTATGCCGTACTAACTTGGAAAGTATGTATACTAAACAGTTATATCGATTTGAAATTAATTAAGAAAGCGAATAATTGCTGATTTGATAATTAAAATTAACAAACATAGATATTATTCGACTAACATATTACATAGATATTTTGAATGAAGTCTTCACTGTAAATAAATCGTTAGCCTTAAAAGACAATGTAAAATTTAAAGCTTCATAGAATCTTTACCCTGAGCGTAAACTATACGGCAGTCTGATTGTAATTTCAAATGATGTGCCGAAGATATTTTGAAACGTCGCATCTGAATACAAATGGTTCGCTTAAAGCTTTCCTTGCAGTCTGAAATTCCTCATTGAATGGCAAGAATTGTAGTGTTGTTTACATCTTGAACGCGGTTCGAAGTGAATTTTAAGTCGGAGCTAAACACGAATTGATGTAGTGCAAGAATTCTTTTCTTGCAATGAGTGCAAAAATATAAATACACAATACAATTTTTCAGTTCTTCGATCCTCATCAATCCTTATGGAGAATGTTTAGATGGATGGATGGATGTAAGGATGGATGTTTGTTTGAAGGTATCTCCGGAACAGCTGCACGGATCTCGCTGAAATTTGGCATCGATGTAGAACATAGTATGGAAGAACACATTGGTCATTATTAACTTTTTTTTAAATTCCGCGCGAATGGAGTCGCGTGCGACATATAGTATTCCATAAAAATATTAATTTTTTTATGGATTTTTTACATTGAAAATTTGACAAAATTAAAACATTAAGCTTTTCGTACGATACCCTTTATACGCATTCTTATATTATAATCTTAGTTTACAACATCTTGGGATACGGTGTATATGTTACTTCACTATTACCTCCTATGTAAGCTATTGTTAAACATATAAATTAGTTTTCCTGTGCGTAGTTACGCTCGTTAAGGATTACAATTTGTGCTTGAAGCTTCGCTTTAATTATGCTGCGAGATAATTATATCTTAATCTAATAGGCTTTATTATACAATATAGCCAAACTAAAATATAAACACATATTATACGGTGTATATTTTAAACAAAACATAAACCGTTTTAATTTTTAGATTTCTAATCTTCTCATTCCAATTTTTTATAGCAAAATAGGATTAATGTATGCTTTCGAAGTACATATATAGATTTATAGTGTAACATAGATGAGCAAGAAATTCCCTCAAGCCACAACCACATGGAAATTAGTCTGCATTGTGCCTGACATGTGACAGAGGTTGGTGGGACCAACTGTCTGTTAAGTCTTGCGGTCTGCAATACTAATGAACTAGTACTGTACTCCATGCTATATTTTTACATAGATTTAGTGAACAGTTTAATCAAGTACGTTGATAGAAAGCTTCTAGATTATTTAATACCTAAAAATATTTTAGAGACAGTTATTTTAAACGGTAATACACTCCCAGACACATTTATCGGCCCAACCAGTGTTTTAAGTTTTGTCGGTCCCTAGCGAAAATAAATCTTAGGTGGAGAAATAAGTTTTTATGCAGTTTTGAAGCTGATTTATTGGTAAGAGTAAACCATGGTATGTTTTTTTATTAAATTTCGCATCCAGAATTATGATAAAAAAGGTGTTCGCGTAAAGAACCTGTATTTGTCTCAGAAATAATGTGATTGAATGTCGATAGCTACAAAAGTAGAGAAAGACCAAAGAAAATGTGGATGAATTGTGTGAACAAGGATTCGGATATGACTGTTGGTAGAGATGTATGGAGGAGTAATAAATGCTGTGCCGACTCTCCGTACGTACAAGAGCAGGTTGATAATAATGATTTTCTCAGAAATATCTCGATTTATTGAAATTTAAATTTATGCCAACGATGTGGTGAGCACTAATGTCAGGGGACATTAACGGTGTGTGGTGACACGTTACTAATGTTCTAGAACGTTTTAAACGTACCCTTGCGTATTCCAATTTCTTTTATCTATTTTTTTAGTACAGTTAATATTAGTGTTCTATACTCTTCTTTACAATTTGTTATGTTATTGATTACTAGCTGTCGCCCGCGACTCCGTCCACCCGTAATTAAAAGAAAAAGTTAATAAGTAGCCTATGTGTTCTTCCAAACTATGTTCTATATGTGTGCCAAATTTCATCGAGATCCATGCAGCCATCTATGCATCCATCCAAACATTCTCATTTATAATTTTAGTTAGTTCAGTTAGATATTAGTTTGATATTGTTGCAATTATCAAATTTAATCAGAAAACTATCTGTAGCTATACCGATTTGTTTGAGCAAATCTATGCTTCTTATTTGACTCTTTTTTTTGCAATAACCAATATAAGAAATAAGGTCGGAAACGGGAAGGAAGTTCTATTGTATAACGCATTAACAATGCATCGCATACTGCGGCGGCATTGTCTATAGCACAATGCCTTTGCCAATGATGGAGTTTTTTTTTATTCTTTCATAAATAAATAGAATTGAGAATGCTTGCATTTTAAAGTATCTTGTCGTTTCTTCGAACGCTAGACATTTTGCCAACAATGCTCATAATAATTGTCGTCATTTGCGAAAGTTCCTGTTTTTAAACCGACTAAAAAAGTAGGTTTTTATTCGGCATGCATTCAACTTCTATTTCGGACAACGGATTTCATGATTGTTTTTCAAAAATTTACATGTTTTGTACCAGTTTTTTGACAATGAAAATTCATTATTTGGTGCAGAACAAAAGATCGTAACAATTTGAAAATAAGGTTAACTTCGGTTAGCTTTAATCATTCTGTTTATCAAGCGGTCGTTTGATGTAAGCCGTAAGTGGAATCCAGTGTAACGACACACATTGCGGTTGCAACGCTAATGAACCTGGGCCTGATTAAACCAAAAATCAATTACCACTTGGTTAGCCCGCCACATTTCATGAATAACTATGAACAAGGAACTTTTTAAATTTAATTATTCGTACGATATTATTATCATACTTGATGAGTTGGGTGTTTGTGTGGTCAGTACGCTGAACGGCCTAACGGAAATTCCCCTCTGTCTTTAAAAAGTTGAAGGCCATTTCTAAATCTCTAATAATGTTTCCAAGTTTTATTGATTTCTTAAAAAAAAATACGCATATTAATTATATTATTAGATGGCAAACGAGCAAGTGGTTCCTCGATTCGTCGAAATATTGAAGTGACCGGGCACCGTCCGCATACTTTCATTTAGTTCCGATATCAAGATGTTACATCATATTTAACATGAATTTTACCAAAATTATTACTCAAGAAGTTCTCTTCAATATATTTCTAGGAAAGTGTTGACTGGCACAGAAAAAATATAAGTATTTTCTCATAGAAGATTTCAATAAGTGGGTTGCGCTTTCGTATTCACGTCCCGTGAATTTTTATGAATATGTACACAGCATTATAAGCAGGGCGAGATACCTGCGCCAGCCTACTCGTGCTTCACGCCAAAGAGATACGTTTTTATATTTCTTACTGCAAAGTTATATGCTTACAAGATTCAGTTGATATATAGGTAAATATATATATTAAAGTATTGACACATTTGGAAACAATTTTTTAAAGTCTAATATTGGAAAACTTAAAATCAACAGGTTTATTGAGGAACGTATTTTAAAGCTACTTTTATCTTCGATTATCTTTTTTTCTTTTGTTTAATTAGTGGTGTTTTTTTTTCAGATCAAAACCAGAGTAGAAGAGTTAGTGATAGCGAGACAAAACCGTGGCGCTATGATGCCGGCGGGGCCGACTTGAGGTCCCGCCACGCTATGGGCTCCAACATCAGCCAGCACTCGTCTAAAGGTCTCAAGGGCCGACGGGCAAGGTCTAGCGGAGATCTCTGCAATGGCGACGCTAAAAGTCAAACCGAGTCTTCAGTATGTGGGTCCGTGGTGGGTGACGTCATGGGATGGAACAGGTCCCTGCCGAATCATCTTGATGGCAACCGCCACCTAGCGGATTACAGTCGTGTCAACAACAACTATGGAGAACTCGGGACGTATAATCGATGTCAAAAAGGCGGGCGGGGATTGCGGTACAGAGTCTCAAAATCAGGTGAGTGAATGTCCTTTTAATAACGTTAATTAACAACAATTAAAGATAACTTTCCACGATAAAAAAGATAAAGTACGAGAAACGAAGACTAAAGACTAAAAGAATTTCTAAGACAACGACAAAAACTTAAAAACAAATTTTCTTTTCTATAAACAAGAAAATTCAAGGAAAATGTTCAGTTCATGAACTTTAAATGCAAATAATATTAGAACGGCTACGTAGATAAAGTCACGTAGGACTAGACGTTGGCCAGCGTCCACGAACCGCGTCCAGACATTAGCTCAACAAATTGAATAATAGTTTACAAACAGACCGAAACGGTTTTCTACTTTTAAGTTGGCTTTAATTGCGAGGGTAATTGTTTGTTCCTCCTTATTTTACGTTACGTTTTACGACGGTTTTCCAAACCATAGAAATATTACGTAATTATTACAACGGACGTTATTGTGTATATATCCTTTTTTAGGATTAAACCATTCAAGGATCTTTATGTGGTATAATAAATTCTTGTCCAGTTTTTACTAAACACATTTGAAAATGTTTTTTAGAGAACTTACCGCTTTCTTATATAGAATGAATAGCACAAGCAAACGTCTTGTTAAACAAGTTGGCATTTTCCCATAAAAAAAACTATTCTGACATGTTTTGTGGAAGACCTAATACTATTTGTTATATGAATTTTTAACAAACTAACATGCTGCAAACCCCAGTACAAACTCACATAAAATATCAGTGGTTGGTTTTAGCGCACCTCCGTCTTCGTTACTGCGCAATAGTGTCTAAGAAAGCTAAGTCATCAACTTGGCAATCTCGAGTGTAAGCAGGTAAAAGCTTTGGATTACATCCTTTAAAGGTAGGGTTGCCATTAAAAATAATATCAAAATATTGTCGTATTTTTATTATAAAACCATTTAGGTGTTTATTTTTTGCCATATTTATCGGAAATCTTTGTTTGCAATAACCCAAAGCTGTGGTGCGTTAACAAGGAAATAGAGTCTGAAACGACGTGAAAAATTAATGGCGGGCCGATGTCTTAATAGAAACCTCTTTACCAATTAGGACCCTCTGCCTTTGGATTGAATTGACGCTGTAATGCAATTTATTTCACAAGAAATTTCTAATAGAGTCCCAATAATATCAAGTTCTTTTCCTTTCGCACTATTTAAATTAATATTTTTTTTATATTTGATAGATTTTTTTAAAACAAAAATATGAAAATAAATGCTATATTATAACCCACATGTTAGTCGGGCGAATGCATACCCTTAAGTTACAAAAATTCACTCACAGCCTTGCTTCGATATTTACAAGGAAATATGAACAACTCTTAAACACTACTTGATTAATATTATTAAAAACGGTACAAAGTAACATAAATCCATCATACGTACATCATTTGATCATTCGTTCAGCATGGTTGGAAGTTACAAGGTTAGAAAAACACGTACAACTTGCTTCACAAGACTAACATCAATCTTCTTGTTTCTTGTTACACGGAGCCCATGTGTTTTGCTATTATGTTCTTATCCGTATCTAAAGATATTATGTCAATATCGTAAAAAATGTTAAGAGGCTAATGAACCGCGTATCAGAAGGAAGCATGACTTTATTTTAGAAACATGTTTCTTGTATTTTCGATATAATTAGCTACAAAATTAGAAGTATCTTGATTGATTTATAAATATGAAACATGATGTTCTTGAAAGAAAGTTCCGCTAAATTATTATTCTAGAAACATATTTTATCTTAATAAATTTTCGTGTCACAATGTTAGTTACCATACTCCTCTGAAACGGGTTGACCGATTTTTATGAAATTTTATAGGCATATTCAGTAGATCTGAGAATCGGCTCCTATCTATTTTATAATCCCGCGCGGACGAAATCGCGGGAGACAACTAGTTAAAATTATCTACGATACTAAATAAAAATGTCCGTAATAAAGTATTTTCTTGTGCGTAACTTTGTAACAAATTGCCTCTGCGCATTTCTATGTGTGCATGTAGCACTTACACCTAATAAAGCCTTACGATGTTCCTCTTGCGCAACATGACGAGAGGTCTACTGGAACACTGTCGGACATAAACTAAACGGAACGACATACCGGTATTGGAGAGTACAATCCCTAACGAACGTATGTTGACAAGATAGACAACGGACTGACGAACTGCGCACTTAACGCCGCAGTTTTATCTTTTACTACATTATACTATTATGCACAAAAAATTTGGTAGCATGTTACACTCTTCCTAAAATAAATCCCATAAATGAAATAGTAACCTCCACCTAACCCACCACAATATAAAGAGTCGGTTTTATTGGTAAATTGAAAACCCTTAATATTAAATCAACACTAATCAGATCCCTTAGTGACCACTAATCGTCTATGAGTGTGATAGTTGTTCTATGATCTGTACTTTATGTTTCGTTAGTCAAATATGTGTATATTTGAATGTCTTGTTTTTATCACTACTTAAATATTGACGTGAGTTTAACCTATACAGCTATGTTTGGTAGTTCAGTATAATGAAACGTCGATATAATTAGAAACTTAGAGTGGCTATGCTATGCCGTCCTTGACCGGCATTATTGACGCAGTGGGTGACGTCGGTGCGCGGTTGACCCCCCTGGTGATTTATAACTCTAACCCTTTAACGACGTCTCTAGTATGCTCCACTTTTGTTGAACATAAATTGTCTAATATTTTTATAGTAAAGTTTTGTACTTTGTGAAAGGGTCGCATTATAGATTGGAATTTCTTTTTTGAATAGAATACAACGTTGTTTTCGTATTGTATAGTACATTTTACAATGTTTTTTTTTATAATCCAGCAATTATTTGTAAATTATATAATGATGAATTCTTATAGACAATGATATTCTGAAAGATAAGGTGAGATTGCAGGACAATAACTGATTTGTATTGGTTGAACCGTCCCTAACCTGTTATTTTTTATCAAATATGATATACTCAAACATGCAATAAAGTCTTATTTATTTAATGTTAGAAATATAACTAAAGATACGTCCAATTGTATAGGTTATGACAGAATTTCCCTTGGGAGAACCGTTAGAAAGTCTTCAGCGCGGTATAATGTGTGCGAAAGCTTAATATGATCTTGACTTATATGAATTCAATGGATGGATTTTATAAATAACAACGTAAGGAACAAGTCTGATTTTTTTTTTTAATAAAATGTATTTTTTTTAATGTGCGCATAAAATTAAGTCATAATTTTAATTCAATACTGAAAATAAAATGCGCCACGGCTCTAATTTGATTTAAAGTCTTGCATAGTTCAAATAAGCGGTATTTAAAACGTCAGGCGGTAGGCTTTAGGAATAATTGTTTGAGTTTTCGGAAGTTCGTGCGGCCGCGAGGTGGGGCGACAGTCTTTTCATCTCACTAAGGACTTTTATCAATGCTTTTGAACGTTGGCTGCTTCTGACTTTGCGGTTCAGTTTAAAAAATAGAAGCTTAATATAATCGCTTCGAAAAATCTTTTCATTAAAATTGTGCCGCTCGAAATGTCAGCGTAATTTTATGCGTTGTATTACTGTGGTGTTATAAAAATAAATATAAATAATTTGACTTCGTTATTTCACTAAAAATATGAATCATTTGATTGTGAATGATTTAAATTATATATCACCATCATCAGCTCACTATACGTCCCGAGGAGCTCGGAGTCTACCCTGTGTTAGGGGTGACTAGACCTAGTGCGGATTGGTTGGCTTCACTTACTTACTGTATAAGCTATACCAAATTCGTTTTATAATTTAGCCTTATTACAAATTAAAATATTAATTAATTTTGTATATATATTTAAACTTAGTTAAACGTTTATCAATCACATCGTATCAAAGCGGTTAGAGGCAATAGAATGGTTGTCAGAACTGTAATACAAAGTGAATAGTCAGAAGGGTGTCTGCAATGCAAAGCTGTGGAGGCGAAGTCTTTTCACGTCACTTTGAGGACTACAATCCAGGCTTTAAAGCGCACTTTGTGTACACTTGCCGTTTGCACTTTTTTGAACGTTTAAATTCATTCGGTTTTTACTTAAAAAATTAAACCGACAATTTATAGAGTTTATTATGTCTTTACAACTTTATGAGAATTTTCTGCACTTTAATTTTCTTACGTTTTCCAAATGAATAAAGATTAGATTAGAGATAAATAACATTTTTAATTCGAAAATATTGTCTGTGGATATTTGTCTTGTGGATAATTAATCTAAAAAAAATCTCATCTCATCACGATCATTTAACCTATTTTTAGGCCATTTTGATAGCCTTGGCCTTAATTGCTACGAAATTAATTTTTAATTATCCCAACCAGATTAACAAAACGTCGATTACTCATTATTTTGTGTTAATTTATAAAGACATACTTAACTGAAATTTGTATAAAAAATATTTTAATTTTTTTTTACATACGTTGATTACAAATAACTTTTAATTAATTTAACCAGCCACAGAAAAGCCCACATGATTACCTTTAATCCTCTCAGAAAAATAATTAATATAGAACTTAATAAATTTCGTTACTAAATAAAAGTAGTTACGTTTGATTAATTTATTAAAATGCGATGATCCTTTTTAAGGATATGCTATTAAATTATTGAAAAAAAACCCTGTTAGCGAATTATTTGCGTCTATTTGAGAATTGTTCCTTGATAATTTAGGTACTATTGAAAAATAAGTTCAATTTTCGCGGCCATAAATAAATTTAAGGTTCTTTTCTAACCTATTTGTCTTACTTGTTATCATGCAAAGAAATGTTGGAACATTCGTCCTTTTTAGGTTATCCTAATTTGCAATTCGTCCCTCCTCCGACGTTGATGTATGACCCGTTTAGCCAACGAATAGCTTTTAATTAGGCGGAGAAAGCGGCCACCGAAATTGTGACTAAACGTTCCATTGTAACTTTCCTACATTTAATTGGCCTTTTATTTTCAAACTATTATTACCAAAAGTGTTTTACCCTATATTTATTTGTCAT